TTTGCCCATTCTTCTTTGCAAAATAGCTCCAGTTCAGTCAGATTGGATGGAGAGCGTCTGAACAGCAATTTAAGTCTTGCCACAGATTCTCAATAGGATTTAGCTCTGGACTTTGACCGGGCCATTCTAATACATGAATATGCTTTGATCTAAACCATTCCATTGTAGCTCTGGCTGTGTGTTTAGGGTCGTTGTCCTTCTGGAAGGTGAACCTCAGCCCCAGTCCCAAGTCTTTTGCAGATTCTAACAGATTTTCTTCCAGGATTACCCTGTATTTAGCTCCATCCATCTTTCCATCAACTGACCAGCTTCCTTGTCCCTGCTGAATTGTGTTCAGGTTGATATGCAGTGTTAGGTTTCCGCCACGCATAACGTTTTGCATGTAGACCAAAAAGTAATTTTGGTCTCATCTGACCAGAGCACCTTCTTCCACACATTTGCTGTGTCCCCTACATGGCTTGTGGCAAACTGCAAACAGGACTTCTTATTACTTTCTTTCAACAATGGCTTTCTTCTTGCCACTCTTCCATAAAAGCCAGATTTGTGGAGTGCACAACTAATGATTGTCCTGTGGGCAGATTGTCCCACCTGAGCTGTGGATCTCTACAGCTCCTCCAGAGTTGCCATGGGCTTCTTGGTTGCTTCTCTGATTAATGCTATTTGCCCGGACTGTCAGTTTAGGCGGAGGGCCATGTCTTGGTAGGTTTGCAGTTGTGCCATACGTTTTCCATTTTCAGATGATGAACAGTGCTCGGTGAGATGCTCAAAGTTTGGGATATATTTTTATAACCTAACCCTGCTTTACACTTCTCCACAAATTTATCCCTGATCCGTCTGGTGTGTTCCTTAGTCTTCCTGATGTTGTTTGTTCACTAATATTCTCTAACAAACCTCTGAGGCCTTCACAGAACAGCTGTATTTATACTGAGATTGAAGCACACACAGGTGGACTCCATTTACCGAGATGCTCAAAGTTTGGGATATATTTTTATAACCTAACCCTGCTTTACACTTCTCCACAAATTTATCCCTGATCCGTCTGGTGTGTTCCTTAGTCTTCCTGATGTTGTTTGTTCACTAATATTCTCTAACAAACCTCTGAGGCCTTCACAGAACAGCTGTATTTATACTGAGATTGAAGCACACACAGGTGGACTCCATTTACCAATTATGTGAGTTCTGAAGGCAGTTGGTTGCACTGGATTTCATTTAGGGATGTGAGAGTAAAGGGAGCTAAATACACATGCACGCCACTTTTCAGATTTTTATTTGTAAAAAAAATCTTGAACACCACGTACCATTTTCCTTCCACTTCACAATTATATGATACTTTGTGTTGGTCTATCAACATAAAATTCCAATAACGTACACTTAAGTTTGTGGTTGTAACGTGACAAATTGCTGAAAGCACTGTACATTTTAGCTGCGAGGGCAGTTAGCTTGTGGCAATCAACAGTGGTAGTGTTAGTAGCTAACATTATGTTCAGAGTGCAGAGCATGCAGCACTTGTGTCAAATATACTGGGAGGAGTAAGACAGACCTCGCTAGTAACAACGTTACGAAGGCAACACACTGTTGAACCGACAAACAGGACAGTATGCTGCGAGGGCAGTCAGTCTGAGGCAAGAAACAGTGCTAGTGTTAGCAGCTACTTTCAGCTGATAATTCCACTATAGCTATAAGCTATTTCATTTGTAATGACACACACTTATTTTGTTGAAAATGTAGGATTTTGACAAATGACAGCAACTCAGACTGAGGCACACAATAACAAGTCAGCAGGATTTAAGTGAAAAATGCATTCCAACAGCTGGAGCTCTACTGTTGACAAGTGCCCACTGTTTACTGTTGTTAAAAAGAGTTGGCATCTTTTTGAGGTGGCGTTTTTTTTTTTTTTTTTTTTTAATCTATTTGGCTTGAAAATAGAAAATTGCTTGAAATACCGACTTGCTTTGAAGAAATACTGACTCTTTTTAATTTTACACCCTAAACATATACTTAGCTAAATTAAAAGTGAACATTTGCTGAATCAAAATCACTCTGAATCCTACTGCATCATAACATCACAAATTTTGCTGTATTGTTTTTGTATGTAATTGTGGACCATGTATCGAGATGGGTATCAAATCATGCGAGAGGGAGAGATACACAACCCTAATTCTTGCCAGCTTTCTGGGTCCAGCTTCCCAATTGTTAGGAAAGTTTAGACCATCAATGTAGCCTGATCTACTTGTCAGTGAAAGCTGAACAAGTACCTTCGAGGAGCCAGGTGAGCAGGAGGACAAGGAGACGTTTGAAAACACTTAACAAATCAGTTTACTGGATGTCTATGTTTACAAAGGAAGGAAAAGTATCCAAGAATGTTAAGTAAAATGATGCACGGTAAGGTACAGTTTTCACTGGAAAGTAAGAGTGGGATCTCCCTTGTTCTTTTATAATTCCCCATGGAATGAGCTAATCACTGAGAATTATGTAAAATATGAGCACTGACATATCAGCCAGTGTCCTGCCCCCAAGGGGAAGAAGTGTCCCCTTGAGATGAACACTCTCTTGTCGCTGGCAGTACTTACAGGACAAACCGGAGCATTTCCACAGTGACAAGACACAAAAAGGCAGAGGACTGCATGCAAGCATAAAGACACTGGGCCCTATCACTGCATGCTCAGCATTACTTCATCCTGCAGTAATGAAAACCAATGTTACTTGAGCCATATAATAAAGTACAACGACCAAAGCTCTACAACAATAGAAATGTTTCACTGTCGGATTTTATCATTAAAAAAAAATAAATAAAAAAAAACAAAGGTCTAAGAGTCTGATGAATTTCCATCACAGGATTGTGACGCTTTGTTTGTCAAAATCCCTGCATGGCTGGGGCACAGCAGATCACACCAAAGGGAGGAAAAAAACATCCTTGGCGACAAGTGAAATTCAGAGTGGTTGCACTACTATTTATAACCTGCCCAGTCTGCTTTGCAATGGCAGAAGGGGACAGAGGGAGACAAAGTGAGAGAGGAGAGCAAGAGGCAGACACACAGACAGAGGGTGGCCCATGAATTCCACGGCAGAGGAAAAGACCATTGTGTATTTTTTCCCTCTGACTGGGGCCCTCAGTAAATAGTGTACTGGGTAAGAAGGCAATAGTGGCAAAAAATGGCATGAATACAGTTTAAAAGAGAAGTGGCTGGCTCATTTGTATTATTGTGTCTACTCCTTTGTTGATAACTCTGCCAATGAAATGAAATTACTTGTATGAGAGATCAAGACCCTGAGGGTGTCATCACCAGAGTGGTGCACCGTGGTGATGATAAAGACAAGTTTATAGTAGATAGTAAACCTCTGGCTATTTCTTACTGGTACCGTACAACTGGCATGAACATGCCAGTCCATGGTCTCCTAACTGGGAAATCTGGCAACACACCAAAAAAAACTCCAAAAAACAGTAACAAACACATGCAAAATAAAATGAAGACTATGCTAGCTGTTAATTTTTTTTTAAACTGCCCTGATCTTGAGAGTTTTATTCCCAATTTAGAGACTGCTGTCTCATCTAACAATGTCCTACTGTTGCTACACATCAAGTATTGAATCTGTCACACCTCACATTACAATTGTAATTTCCCAAACAATCATTTATAAAGACCGCCATCACAGCTTTCAAACACTAGCAGCCAGGGTGAGGTAGGAAGGGTCCAAGTGTTGTTAGGGGTACATGGCAAAAATGCTACAGAAATTTTGTCCTCACTACATGTGTCTCCACCTCTTATCAATGAGCCCAGATACCATCTACACTGTGTTGCTTGAAAACTGCATCTGGACATCAGCATTTTTGATGGTGGTGATCAAGAATCACACTAGAGCATTATAGCATAGGAACCAAAAACTGAAAACTGTGCGGGCTCTATTTTCCAATGCAGAGCTATTTGGCTGTCAAATTCCTTTGCTAATTTTTATGTAGCCTTAGGACAGAAGTCAGTTATTAGTTGTGTTCCCCAGCACTGCTCAGGGAATGCCCAACATACAGTAGTTTTACATGCCTGATGGAAATGCAGACTTGTATGCGATAGATAGATGAAAAAATAAAATTAAAATTAAAAATATATATATATACTTTTTTTTCCTCTTTCTTTCAAGAATGAACAAGAATGAAGAGAAGAAGAAGAATTGTGTACAAGGGGAGATGCCATTTTTTCCTTTGACAGAATTACAAAAGCTTATTAGTCATCCTTCATGAAATGACTCGTTGTTGTCCACTATAAAACTTGCAATGAAATAGATACGTTATTCACTGGGATCGGTTTCATGTATGGTTAAATGAAAGTACTGCTGTTGCTGCCTTCAAGAATCCTTTCTCTGCACACCTCATCTATCAGACTTTTTTTGACAATCACAGACTACATTAAAACATTACAAGTCTTGTTTACTGGAATTTAAAGGACTCTTATATCGATGTTGTTTCCTATTGTAGATATGTAAATACACAAATATTCTTGATTGAGGGCCAGATTTGGTGCATGGGCCATTATTTGTCTACTAAGTATACTGTGCAGCTTACCATTAGGAAAAAAAAAACAGACAATTATGATAAAATAAAGACTCCATTGCACACAGTATCATCAGACTCTTCATTTGCAATCAGTGCCAAAAAAACAGCAGCAAAGTACAATACATGCTACAGTATATAATATCTACCCCTAACCAAAGCAACCATATGAACATGAGTATTTATGTCAAGTGTTGCCCAGAGGAAAAAGAATGCCTAACCTGGAAATGTTTAATAGCTTACACATAGAAAGTGTAACCATGTGTCTGTGCGTGGAGCAGTGCTCAGCCCACCAAGCTGCACCACAGCACATTACAGCCAGCAACATGAGACATAACCTGTCTAAAAAAGGCAACAGTAAGAAGCAAAGTCAAGAATACCCATCTCCCTAGTGCATGTGCTGAGCACGGTCATAAAATAATGCTAACCTGGACCAGAACAAGTGGTGCCAGCATACCTCTTGTTGATGGGCTTCTCATCCTTCTTGTAGGGTTTGACAAACCACTTTCCGATGCGAACAAAGCTGCGATTCATGAGGCAGCGCTCCAGCAAGTTGTGGATGGCTTTGAACAGCAGCGTACGACACTCGTAGGAAAGGCCGTTCTCCCACAGCCCATCATCCTCAGCTAAGAAAAAAAGGAGGGAGAGAAGAGGAAAACATCAAGTTTGAGCCTTTTTTTAAAACAGCAAAAACTCTTTCAGGGGCATGCAATGCCAATCTGAGTACCACAAAAACTGAGTTTACAATGATGGTGTATGTTGTTGCTGTGGCTGGTAGAAGCGCACTCGATAAGATGGCACAGTCACTGAGGAGCACCAACTGTCATGGCAAAACTACTGTCACATTATACTGTTGCACAAACATTAAGCTTTAAAGTTAAGGTTATTTTATTACCACATTTTACCTTAAAGCTACAATATGTAACTTAAGGCAGCGTTAGCATGAAATTCCAAACCATCCCACTCTGCTCTGAACAGCCCTCCCTCTCTACTCTACGCTGCTCTGCTACAATCTGCTATGCTCCACCACTCTCTGCAGAGCTCTTCAGATATTTGTCATTATGAAATTACAAGAAATGAGAATGCAACACAACCTACAGATCTAGCAGAAATCGTTGAAAATCTCTGATTGGTTAGAGAGGTCAATCCTGCTCAAAGCCTTTTAGAAGCTAATATCTGCACTGCTGCCTGTGCTGTTCAATGAGTCTGAGAATGTTTATGCATTAATTTTTTTAACATCCTAATTTCAAAAATTGAATTTGTTTCAAAAATGCAGTTTAATATGAGAAAACTCCAATATACTATTGTAAAATTGAGGCTCAACAATCTCACCCACTAGACACACTCAGAGAACTCAGTCCTATAAATGACATTATAAAATCGCCTTCCAATCTGAGAATCTTTTTAAGCATCTATGTAATGAACTGAATAGTACATCAGACACACAAGGTAACTCAGAATAGGAACTTGTGCATTTCACTTGGAAGAAGAATGAGTGAAGCAAAAGTCTGATAAGGTTACTCTCCAGCAATCTTATGAGCACGACAAGCTATTCTCAAGCACTTGCCATTTAACACCCTTTAAACACCCTAACACAGACATTTTACACGTTATGGAATGCAAAACAGTAAAGAATATCTAGAATGACATCTGGAAATTATATCACATAAAGATGGCAAATATGTAAATGCAAACAAGACTGTGCTCACTGAGACAGAGAGGGAGGTTAAGTAGAAACCTGCTGTTTGACTGCAGAGGTTTCAGGTGCTATCTGCTCTGCTGTGTTACCACATTTGAGGACTTTAGTGAAACACAGATTCATCGTTTAATAGTGGTTTGTTTTCAGCGCAGCCAGGAAACAAAAGGAAAATTCTTGTCATTCTGCAGAAGAAGATAAGGCACTGAAAAATTTGGCAAATGCTCAGTAAGTTGAGGTGTAATTAATTAGCTCACGAGATGAGACGATACAGTATATTGGGTTCACAAGAACGAGACAAGACAATATTTTAACACTATTTTAAAGAAATCTTCAATAATGAAATAAATGACTGGAAACAGTCTTTTATTTGACTGAAAGTCAAAATGCAAAACAGTGCAGGTGCATTTTGAAATGTTTTAACTAATCATCTTGTAATGAACGCAACTTTATTTCTACTTTCTGAGGGCAAATTATCATATGTAGTAAAAGGTCAAAGTGTTTGTCATATGCACAGTTAGGAAACGTGTTTCCCTGTACAATGAAATTCTTACTTTGCTGTCCACATGAACGAACAAGTGAAATATAAAGTAGATGAGTAATAACAAATCGGCAGAAACAAAAATCTAAGGCACTTTAAAGCAGCAGGTGAAGGCCTGCCAGTCAGAAAGTCCAGGAGCCAGTCATAGAGGGTGGGGTGCAGACCCAATGTGGACAGTTTGTGGGTGAGTTTGTGGGGGACAACTGTGTTGAAGGCGGAGCTGTAGTCAATGAAGAGTATCCTGATGTAGGAGTCTCATTTTCCAGGTGAGAAAGGTGGTTGGGTCTTAAAGCAGCTGGGAACGATGCTCTGGCTGAGAGAGGTTGAAGATGGTGGTGAGAACATCAGTCAGCTCGCTGCCACATGCTCTTCTTGGGAAGGGGGATGATGGTTGTGATCTTAAAGCAGGTGGGAACAATGCTCTGGCTGAGGGAAAAGTTGAAGATGGTGGTAAGAACATCAGCCAGCTCGCTGGCACATGCCCTGAGAGCCCTCCCAAGTATGTTGTCCGGTCCTGCTGCTTTGCGGGAGTCGATCTTCCTCAGAACTTTGCATACCTGGCCTGGTGAGACAGTTAGAGGAAGGATGGTGGGGGGTTGGACGGTCCAGGTGTGTGCGTGCTTCCTCTCTGTGCTGTAGCTGGAGGTCTCAAAGCGGGTGTAGGTGTCTGCGGAGCTGGTGTTGCTGGTGGTGGTCCTGTAGTCTGTGATGTGCTGCAGGCCTTGCCACATCCGTCTGGAGTCAGCAGTAGAATAGAAGCCATTCAGCTTCTCTCTGTACTGCCTCTTGGCCGCTGTGATGGCTTTCCTCAGCCTGTACTTTGCAGCTTTGTACTCCATCTCATCGCCTGATCTGAATGCATGAGAGCGAGCACGCAGCATGTGGCATACCTGACTGTTTATCCAGGGCTTCTGGTTGGGGAACCTCCTAACTTGTATGGTGGACACAATGTTGTCTATACCCGGTCACATACTCAGCATTATCCTGTACACTGACAGAAAAGTCCTCCGAGGTGGCTGCAGCTTTAAACACATCCCAGTCTGTCTGGGCGAAACAGTCCTGCAGGGTGCCTTCAGTCTCTGGGGTCCAGAGTTTAATTTGTTTGGTGACAGGGTTTGTTTGTTTCAGTCTTTGTCTGTAAGCTGGATACAGGAACAAAGAAATGTGGTCCGAGCGGTCAAGGTGGGGGCGGGGTGCGGCCCTGTATGCACCACGGATGTTACTGTAAACATGATCCAGAGTGTTCTTGCCCTGGGTGGGAATGTTCACATGTTGGTAATATTTGGGAAGTACAGTCCGTAAATTGCACTAATTAAAATCGCCTGCAGCAATAAATGTAGCATCAGGGTGAGCCGTCTCTAGCACGCTGATGACGTCGTGGAGTTTGCTGAGAGCCGTCGAGGGACTAGCTCTTGGGCTAACATACACAGCAGCCAGAAACACGGCAGTATGCTCTCTTGCTAGATAACAGGGCTGGCATTTCAGCAATAAAAACTCTACGTCTGGCGAACAGTGCTTATAAACAGTCTTCCACACCATGAGTTATTGATAAACATACACACACACACCGCCAAGTGCAAGCTTTTAGCCTAGCATGGAGCCCTCCTCTCTTGCCCCATTTGCGTCTCCGTATCGCTGTCCGGGGGTCAGCCTGCTCACTCGTGCCTGGTGCTTCGGGGCCTTTCCGGAGGTGATGGTGATTGTTGTTGTTGTTGCGGGAACGAACAATAATTTGTAGCTCCGGTGGTATGAAACCAGTAAATTCCCAGTGGCTGTGTGAGTTGGTGATATCCAGCAATGTCTGTCTGTTGTATGTTAGCAGTGCATGACATTTGTGCACTGCAGAAAGGGTAAAAAAAAAAAAAAACACACACACACACACAAAAGAAGAAAACAAAGAAAACGCCGGCATTCGGGAGTGGAATGCGCAAACACGTCTGCCTCGGGGGCGCCATGATGACAACAATACGCAGTGCTGTAAAAGGTTTTGCCAAAAACTCAACTGGCTGGCTTCTCTCCTGTATGATTTTAGAGGAGTCTCTTTAGAACTTATAACATGAAGGTCATGAAATAGGCCACCATTAATGCACCACAATGACACACCATGCATTTTCTTTAGTGCTGGATGTTAAACGTTTGTTTTTGTTTTTGTTTTTTTTAATCTATCAATGCCAACAAACTCGTAGAATTGGTGCTAAGGCAGAGTAGGCCAAATTAGCAGCATAGCTAACCAAAACACAATGGAAACTCATGGCCTGGAAAAGTGAACATGGCCATATCACACTCCCTCTGCAACCCCTCACCACCTCACCAATGCAGCCCTGTCCCTTAAAACACAGCAGGGAGTTTCATTTTTGCCGGACTAATGTCAAGGCATCATTTCACTCCATCATACTCACCTGGTTCTGTTTGTCTCATGATATCAGTACATGCTTTTGCTGCGACATGAAATAACGGCAAGTTTTAATATCACACTTTGTCACTACCAATGTGGAGACCAAACCTGCACCCTTGGTTTCACTGAGTTGCTCCTTGCAACTCAATATGTTTCAGCCTCCCTCCAGTTACAGCATTGTGACACTGTCGCATATGACATAACATGTCTGATGTAGCTAAATTCAGAAACAAACAACAGCAAAAAAATGCTACCAAATTTTGCCTGACCAATAATGACAATCCAGTTCTGTGTCAGTGCCCCTTGATGCTATGATGTTTTTTTTTTCCTTTTATTGGTTTTTCTTTTGTGTTGTCATACAAGCAGAGTTTAACTAACAGACAGCAACTGCCTTTTGAGTTTCTGTTCCACACCTGCAAAGAGTTGAACTGTAATAAGTCTGTGTTAGACTCACATCACTGTAATTATTTGCTTAATATGGCATTATTAACTAAAACAAGTCACACATCAAACTGGACCAAGCTGTTCAGGATAAATATATGTAATGTCACACCCATATTCAAGTTGGTTTCTAAATCACACTCTGTGCTGGACTGAATACTGGCCTAATCTCATTAACAGCTGGTGCTCCCATCTTAGAGCACCTTAAGCTCCTTTCAAGTCTCAAGCAAACATCTTCCCAAGTGTGTTGTCTGCCTGAGAACGGATAAAATAAATGCCGGGTGGGACCCACCTTTCATGTCAGCTTGACGTGAAACAGCTAAGCACAAGTCAGCCCAGAAGCAACTTAATCAAAATGTAATGAATTATTAAGTGAACCCCTGGATTGCTCTTGTAATAGGTGAAGTTTATATTTAGAAGATTCCAAGGGACATTACACTGCTTTCATTCATTGAACAAGAGAGACACCACAGGCCCTTTGCCAGTCTGCCAAGTTTGTTTAAGGGGATGCTGAGAGCGTAGATGTTTTTCCTGAGTTTAAGCATATAGCCAA